TCATTCCTGCAGAAAGCAAGCTGCTGCTATTCCAATTATCCCAGCCCCTGATGCCTCTCGATCGAGCTGGCAGATCTAGACTTTCCAAAAAAAGATCTGCTAGTTGGGGGCTTCTGGTCCCACGGCAGCCAACTGCTTGAACCAGTGAGTGAGCTAATTTGTTAGTGGCAAGAACTGGTGCAATCAATAATAATGACAGGTATATGCAGCGTGAGATGCATATAGCACGTCACAGATTGCAGTGGCTTGAAGAAGAGTCTAAAAATTCATGACGTTACAGTCCTAAAGTTGGCTTAAATTAGATTTAGAATAATGTAGGCTAAACCCTGATGTAGGCTCTCTGTAATGTTTGTCTCAAGGCAAGATGCTTTGTCTCCCTGCCTGTTTGATTTACAATAGATTAGGATGTTGGTTAATCTCTTCTTATTTGGCTAGATGACTGTGGAGATTAATCAAGTATTGTCTGCAAAAGAAGCCCATAAATACAGATTACTAATTTTTGTTTAATTATTCCTCTGTATGCCAGAGGGATGCAGAGGGGGTACAGACAAGAGTAGACACTAGCCTCTTAAATCTCATTTCTTAAGAGGAACAGAAAACACAGCAGCTGCTCTGGCTGATACTGGTTTTCTCTGACATGCTCAGTTTAGTTTCCTGGAAAAGGCAAAAAGCCACAGAAATAGTAAATTATTGTCTCCTGTGAGAAAACGGGGAAGCAGAAAGTGGTTCCAAGTGAGTGAATCTGCTTGGCTGGTATAGCACCATCTCTGTTTCCACAGGACATGGAGAAAGCAGCATTTCTTACAGGAAAAGCTATACTGAACAAAGACAGAAACACATATTGAAACAAACTGAAATAGCAATGTGCTGTGAGTATTGGAAAACAGAGCAGTGTGGAAGAAAGACATTGAAAAGCATGTTCTTCAAACGTGAGGTGGAAACAGTTAGGGCCTCTGCTGAGATGTTTGCACCAGATACCTTCTTCCCCTGTGCATTCCAAGGACATTTGAACAAAGATGTTATTCTTCTACTTGTTCTGTGTCGACAGCTGCAGCTCCCTGCCTTTGAGCTCAACAACTGACACTACAGGTGAGCACTGCAGCAGCACACACCGATCCTCTCGGTGCAGGGATTAGCAGGTGGGTCATGGATGTTGTCCTGCACTATATAACTCAAAACTAGGAGCAACAGCCAAACAGCTTCTGTCACTGGAGTTCTGCTGTTAGCTGTAGTATGCCTCGGGAAGTCTTTTTTCTTCTCTTTCTGATTTCTATCTACTTGCTTTTTTGTACATTATTAAGTTTTTCGATTTTTTTCCCATGTCCTGCTCTTTTGGGGATGGTATCCCAGTCCATAAAGTAGTAAGTATTTATTGTGCACAGTTTAAATGCTTTTTAGTAAATGCACTCTTGCACAGTGTCGTGGTTTAACTCCAGCCAGCAACTAAGCATCCCACAGCCGCTCACTCACTCCCCCCACCAGTGGGATGGGGGAAAGAATCAGAAGAGTGAAAGTGAGAAAACTCATCGGTTGAGATAAAGACAGTTTAAGAGGGAAAGCAAAAGCTGCACACACAGGCAAGCAGAGCCAAACAAGGAATTCATTCACTGCTTCCCATGGGCAGGCAGGTGTTCAGCCACCTCCAGGGAAGCAGAGCTCCATCACACGTAATTGTTACTTGGCAAGACAGACACCGTAAACTCCAAACGTCTCTCTCTTCCTTCTTCTTCCCCCCAGCTTTGTATACTGAGCATGATGTCGTATGGTATGGAATATCCCTTTGGCCAGCCTGGGTCAGCTGTCCCAGCTGTGTCCCCTCCAGCTTCCCCTGCACCCCCAGCCTCCTCGCTGGCAGGCCAGCATGAGAAGCTGGACAGTCTTTGACTGCTTAGCAACAACTCAAAACAGCAGCACGTTATCAATGTTATTTTCATCCCAAACCCAAAACATAGCCTCCTACTAGCTTCTATGAAGAAAATTAACACTATCCCAGCTGAAGCCAGGACACATAGCTTGACAGAAGGCAAATAGTGACAGGGCAGAGACATACTCCCTGGGTATTAAGAAACCTGCTTCAAAGGGCTGAGAGTGCCTGGACCATAAATGATACTAGTACTGGCAGGCTCCTGTGATACTAACATACAGAGACAAAAATAGTCAAGGGTAGTGAACAAAGGGACCTCAGGTGTACAGCACCTGATAGGGAGCACGTTTAGTGCCTTAGAACGAGACCCTGGGGATTCTGCCCAAGTGACAAACACTGGTTGCTATAGATATCTGTCCTCTTCAAATACAGACGGATCACTCCAGGATGCAGGGAAGTTCCACTGCATCTCAGCGCAGACAGACAACCATTTCCAATGGTTCCTGTCAAAGTAGCTGAAATTTTCCTAGGCTTTCCTTTAAAAAAAGGAGCAAGCCAGCTTTCTGGAGAGAGGCACCACAGACTGGTGTTCATTGCCACTAGTCATCTCCCCTCTAACAAGCAGTGTCTGCTGAGAAGAGCTCAGGGGATCCAGACAGCAGCATAAGCAGTCCAGATACACACCGGGATCTTCTCTGTGGGAAGATGGTTCCTCTTCCTTCCCAGCCCTCCAGCCTGGTCCGAATTTTCATCGGCTCAGTTTTTTCAGGTAAATAAGCTGAAAAGTCCTGAAGCTGCTGAATGGATCAGGCACTCTCTCTGCTAGAGTCTGCGAAGTGTTACAACAGGGTGAGACTACTGTGCTTAGCAGAGAAGCTGTAAGCTTGCAGCTTCATTTGAAAGTGAAGATGCCTGTATCTGCTGCATTTTATATACAGCTTTATTCTGCCACACCCAATTTGCACTTAGAACGTGTCAGAGGTGGCAGAATTCTGCCTTAGTTCAGGAACCAATGGCATTTGCAGTGAAGCCAAATTCAGCCCTAGGCACTACTGTTCAATAATAGCTCTGTGCAGCGCAATGCCTGTCTTGCACCCAAGATGGCAAAGTTTGCAGCCTTTCTCGAAACCCTGGGCAACACACATTTGATTCCCATTCACCACTGCTGTAACAGTACGAAATATTTGTGAATAACTTCTCTTCTTGGACAATATCCAAATATTTCCCACTTCCTCTGACTACTGGGACACAGTTGCCAGACTGAGCTCCTAAAGTGGTAACTGGCAGTGGGTAGCAATGACTCACATTTTCAGGAATTACAAAACTCACATTCCCCTTCTGAAAATCATTCACTTTGTCTCCATTTTTAAACAAGAAAACATAGGTTTAGATAGGCTCAAGTCCACAAAAAGTGCCTTCCAAAGAAAGAAAACACTGCAGCATCTCCTCCAGTAGGCGATAACACGATGAATGTGCTGTTTGGACAGTGAGGTGTTTCCAGCCAAAGCAGATGGGTCAGCAATTACAGAAACAGTTACAGCTGCAGTTTCTAGAAGGAATGTATGAGAACTGCAGACAATCTGAAATTACTGGGAATATAAGGACACAGCTAGTGTTAAGATTTTACCTACACCACCTGTCCAAGTTGTGGCAGACCTCATGTATTTTCAGGAACAGTTTTGGGATGAAGGATGTGATATGTGATTCGATTTTCACCAAAAGACAGGGTTTTACACTAAACCCACTCTCTCACCATAAAGCTTGGAATTTATGTGGGCTAGAGTGTAAAGCGATACAAGGATTTCCCATAACTACTGCAACTTTGGTGAGAGCTAATGAATTATTCCAGGAGTGTTACGCTGAGAGTGCTTGCTCCCTGTTGGACAGCAGTGCAGACATGATAATTCCTAACCCAAGGGAGCCCGCTCCTCATCTGACGCTGGCACAGATTTCATTAGTGATTATACTTCACTTAGAACAGTCCCAAGGAAAGCTGCAGATACAACCATTCCTCGTTCTAATTTTAGCATCCCCTCTTGTACTACTATCAGATGATTATGTAGTGCCGTGAATGTTTACATAATTTCAGGGAGAGACTATTCTGGTTCTGAAGAAATTAGAAACTTGTACAAGGAAACATATGTAAGGAGAACAATGTCCTTTATATTCTACTTGTCTTTTCATTATGCAGGTGTGAAAAGAATCCATGAATAGAAGACCCATCTATCAGTGAACAGGAGAGGGTGCATGCATGTGGGGTGCTGAGTGAGCATATATGTGCTTACTTTTCTTCCTATTTGCTTTGTCTTCTTAGTTTATCTTAAATTTACCTAGTTTGTTGTTTGATTTAATTCAGTGGGTATGTCACTTAAAAGGTGTCACAAAGATTTTTCTAGAAAGAGGTAATCTCTCTGGCAAAAAGCACAGCAGGGGAAGCGACCATAAAAATTTCACAGACTTGACTCTGTATGAAGAGATTCCCTGTGGGTAGAATTGCCTTTTATTGTGGCTATTTATCACCACTGAGATGGCAAACAGCGTGGCTGAGTGGTCTTAAAATAGGATGGAGGATTTGCCGCAGTAAGATGTAAGAAATGTATTTTTTCTGGATCAATGCTGCTGTATTGTATTCTATAAATATGCGATCCAAAATTTCCAGATCCAGAGTTTTCATATTAGCAAATAAAAGCTGAGTGTGACAAGCCAGTATAGAACGTTGAAAATACACATGGGCACACGCCTGCACACATCTGGAAACCAGTTTTACAAGACTCAACCACAACGTCACCTATATGAAACTCAACACAGATTAGAGATGATAGCCACACAAACTGCATTTCCAGTGCAAGGTCTAGAACAATAAGTAGACAACTTGTCTCCAAATTCCTAACTTCTGTTGTGCTACACAAATCCTTCCATACAGACATGGCTACAGAAAGAGAGACCCTCCCGCAGAAAGCACACCCAGAAGTGCAGGCCTTCTGTCAGAAGCATGGCCTAATGCTTGAGGTAAATCACTTCTCCCCTGTCTATCCTGTCCAAAGGCCACCAAAATATGTGGGATGGAAGAAAAAAAACCCAACATGCTTATAGATTTTCCATCTCCTTAGAAGCCTTCTAGGAGTCAAATACTGCTGTATCAATTTACTAGAACTTTTGGATAAAAATATTTCTACACTTGAGTTGTATGGATTTCAGCGAAGAGTTAGATGGCTAACCATATTCAGGCACCTAGACATGAGGATTTACATCATCCTTTTGTTTCTATATTCAATTGGAAAAACATTCCATGTATAAATGCCACTGGATATACTTCAGGAGTAGTTGAACTAGTCCTAATTACACTACTTTGCACAGAACTTCTAGCATAAAAGGGGCTACTGAAATGTGGGGGATCCCTATCTTCTATCACAGAAGATAGGCTTGAAATGGTGCAGCAAATAACCTACAGTCTTGAGGTTCCTTGTCCTGAAAATCTAAGTTGCTTACTTGGTCGTCCGTGGTCCAAATCCCTAAGCCTTTCACAGGAGAAATCCCAACTGAGAGACTTTTAATATCTCAGTCTCTCTTGTAGAGTTCCAGTAATTAAAGTTACATACCACTAATGTTCAGACTAAAAATTAAATGTGATAGAATGACTTAGTTTTCCCATGTCACTGTTTTTATGATAGCATCGACTAGTTTAAGAATCTTGAAAAAAACATTTTTGTGCAGGTAATTGACTTGAGATGGGGTATTTCTGAGCTTGTAGACCCTGACCACAGAAATACACAACTCTGGAAGAAATTGAAGTCTGTCAGAAACTGTCAGCTGGTCCCACCTTCATTGTAAGTGCTAGCACTGCAGTGCATACTCAATCCCTATGGCTGAAGTGAGACATACAGAGTAGGCCACACACACTCAGAAGGTCTACTGAACAACTAAGGTGGTTTTCAAAAGTAATTAGGCTGCCTGTGCAGCTTCTCAAATCAGCTAGCTGATGGGGCTGAGATGGCAATAATTGCCAATAGTCCCTAAAAGACAAAAGGAGCCCTGACACGCACACATATATAGTCCAGCCCTGAACACAGAGTCTCTTCAGAGCAGAAGATAACAGGCGTTGTGTGTATTAACTAGAAGATGTGAGAGGCAGATGGAGATGCACATAAGGCGAGAAGCTCTTGCTCTAAGCTTGCTTCCTGCCCAATACCTCAATATTGAGGAAGTTTTCTCGGTAACTAAGGAATAAATACAAATTCCCCATGCAATGAACCAGAAATGAAAATGCTATAGCAAACACCAGCGACTGAGCGGGGTGTCACACTGCCAGCTGATACCCGTTCCATGCTTCTGCCCTACTCATATCCCTCTGATCACTCCTAATCACTGAAAGCTCCCCACAGCAGCAGCTTATCTCAGCTTCCTTGAAGCACTTTGGTGACAGCCTCAAACAAAAATCCACACCCAGAACTTTTAAGCCTAGCAGAAGGGGAGAAAAGGCTGAGACACATGTAGAAGTGCCAGGTTGCTTCCTCAGGTTGTTTTGGTTTTAGAAAGGGAGAAGGACAGTTTTGCTGAATGAAGAGAATAAATACACAGTCCCGGGGGCATAATTGAAGCCACAAGTAAATAAATAAGCAATTAAGTATTTGTGCAAGTTGTGCCTGATTTCCCGTGAGCCACTTCCACCAGAGGCCAGCAACGGAGAGGCAGAGACCATGAGAGCCTCACCACAGCGTTACTGCACCCATGAGCTCACCGTTGCTGAGCTCCCTGCAGCTCACACCTCTGTCAGCAGTGCCATACCGCATATGCTGGTGGCACTAGTAGGCACTCAGGCAGTGTCTTCCTCAGACAGGTTCTCAGTGCGTACCTGGAAATCTCAGCAGAGCCAGCCACGGAGGTTCGACTACTCCCTCTTCACCTTACACACACTAGAAGAGCACTCCTCAAGGATTGCACTGTGGGTTTGCGCTCTGAGCTCATTCTGGCTCTTTCCAGACTGCACAGATATGGGATGCTCACCCTTTCCAGGATCTCCCTCTTCCCCAGCCAAGCCTTCAGTCCTAATCAAAAGTCCCCAGGCTCAGTTCTGTTCCCTTAGTTCTTCTCCACCCCAAAGCCAATCTTACAGCACCATTGGCCAAAGCCCCCAAACCGATTCTGCTCTGTGCTTCCAACTGCCTCACCTCCATCACCCTCCCCACCTAGATGCACTGTAAAGGCCTGAGGAGCAGCTCCTGTAAAGCCCCTTCTCCCTGACCATGGGGCAGGCTGGGGCTCTGCCTGGCTGTTCCCATCCACCATGGAAGCCACAAGGGCGCTGTGGTTACCAGCAAGTTTTCTGAGCAGCCCTCCCTGGCAATCCTAGGTGCTAAGGCAAGCAGCCAGTCTACATCCCAGCTGTCACTGCAGAAGCAGTGCCTGAATGCCGGACCTTTTTTGCCTGTTGCAGGGACTCCTGGGGGACCACTATGGGCACCAGACTATGCCTCAGCTCATTGCAGAGAAGGAATTTGAGGTCCTAACTGTGCAGCTGTCAGGGGACTCTGCCCAGCTCCTGACACAGTGGTACTGGCAAGATGAGAACGCGCTGCCCACCTGCTACGTGCTGCAGCTGACGGGCAGGCCTGGCATTGCCTGGAGAGACGCCTGGCTCCGGCACTGCGTATGGCAGCCCAGAAGGCAGAGAGGCGCGGGCTGCTGGGCCCAGAGCAGAGGCACTGCTACCACACATCAGGTGTGTTCCAGCAGAGCTGTAATGTCCTTCCAACCACAGCTGTCAGGGAAGGCAGCTGTTTGTTTCAAGATAACATCAGACTGTATCTAACAGGAAAAAGGCAGGGAAGAAAGAGACGTGCTAACTATCTGCCATATCCTGAATCCCGAGGATGTAGGTAGGTGTTGACTAGCAAACAGCAATACACCAGATAGAAACTTTTCTTCTTTTTCCTCCTATCTCCCTGACCACATCCAGGAGGATGCCTTGCTCAGAGCACATGGGGAATGCTGACCTGCTAGCATCATGTGAAATACAGGACCAAGGGCTGTCACAGTAATGTCAATGGATGGTTTTTCCTGTGTTCTGTTCTGAAACCAAGTGCTCACATCTCCCCCCCACTTTTTTTTTTTTCTTCGTAGCAATTGAATGGGAGATTGAACAGGGTCTCCTCAATACCCAGGAGAGCAACCCGGTGGCTTTCATATTCCTCAGAGAGGTTGAGGATTCTAACAGACAAATTGGGCAAGGGACAAACAGTGAGGTCTTAGAAAAAGAGGACAATCTGGACAGTGAAGCGAAACAGCTGCTCATCAACCTTAAAGCAAAAATCGCAAGCCATTATCCCAAATACCTCGAAGTGCACACACTGGCACACAGGAAAGACTCTGAGAACCCTCAACACAAGGAGAATAATAAATACCTGAAACAACTTTCTGAGCAGTTCACTGCTGTCACTAATCACCAGGTTTTAGGGAATCTTCGATACTGAGAACAGATCAGCGAGGAGCCAGGGCGACTTCTACATGAGCTGGGCCACCACACAGCCCTGTGCCTGAAGAACTGCAGATTTTTCTGTGGGAGACAGAATTTATTGGATAACATTGTTCACTGTAGTAGGCAGAACAATTATAAACCCCACACAACTCTTATCCTTTATGGGCCACCAGGCTGTGGAAAAGCAGCTGTGATGTGCAAACTATCTGAGAGGGTACAAGCTGTCTTAGGGCAAGACACCATAGTTGTGATTCGTTTGCTGGGGACATCCCAGCTCAGTTCTGTCATTCACAGCCTGCTGAGAGACATTTGTCTCCAAATGTGTTTAGCGTTTGATTTGCCACGACCCCCAACCCAGATCAAACAGGCCAGCAGTGATTTACTCTTGCTCCTCCGCACTGCCTCCCATTGTGGCATACAGACACTGGTGTTGTTCCTGGCCTCTGTGGACAGATTACTTCTGGTAACGGTGCTCACAGATTCTGCTGGCTCCCTACAGATTGCCCTCCAAAGGTCCACATCATCATTTCCATTTCCACAGCAGAGCCTGATACTCTGAAAGCTCTCCAACACACTGTGCCTGAAGCTGAAGCGTACTTGGAAGTAGGACCTTTATCTTGTGAGGAAGGTGAGGAGATGCTAGAGATGCTCTTAGCATCAGACAGATGAAAACTAAGCCCAGCTCAACAGGCCTATTTCCATCAGAGCTTCCCTAGTGGTGAGCAAGCCCTGCTCTTCAAGCTGGCCTTCCATGAGGCCAGAAAATGAGCATCTTACACTTGACCTTCAGAACCAGTGATTGCTAGCACAGCCCAGGATGCCGTGCATTGTCCGTGTGAGAGACTGGAAAAGTCACACAGCACAGTCCTTGTGGCTCATGTGCTTGGCTATATTGCTACCTCACGGTGGAATACTCCTGTATCCTGATGGAATAAGCCCATATTTCCTGCTCTTCATAGGGAATCTGTCTAAACACAGCCAAAACCTGTCAAAACTCTCAATTCTTTCAGCCTGTGAATGTGTTCATACATATATTTAGCAAGCATAACATTCCTCCCATAGCTGGCAGCCTACTTAAGATATTGTCTTGAAAGGAGAAGTTCTGGGATTACTTGAAAAAGGAAATCGATCTCCATGGCTTATCCAGGGTCTAAGCTCTTAGCTGAGACTGCCACATGTGCATGTGAGCTAGCAAGATTTTTGGTGACTAGTACTTTTGAATTGTCAGAGAAACCACTCACTCTCCCACTATGTATATCGGTGTAAACAGTAAGGAGGAGGATATATAATTTCCTTTCATATATCATCCTTCATTGCAGAAATGGACTGTCAGTCATGGAACTGAAGGACATTTTACCCCTTGATGATGAATTTCTCTCAGAGATTCACCGCTGCCACCTTCCTTCAAGTAAAACTATCCCGTGCCTTCCTCCTCTCCACTGGGCACCGCTGCCACCTTCCTTCAAGTAAAACTATCCTGTGCCTTCCTCCTCTCCACTGGGCACGGCTACGTAGTGACATGGGAGAGTTCCTAGCAGAACGGAAGGCAGATGGCTCCACCCTTCTTTGCTTTGCACACAGGTACTCTTAGAAGGCAGAGAATGAGAAGCCAAAGCTCTCAGTATGGGATATTCACATCCTGGGCTTTCAGGCACCCTGCCTAGACTCCTCTCCGTTCCTAAACTCTATCAGTGCTGAAGCTCACAGGAGAAAACAAGCTCTAGCTCCCTGTTCCAGTACATCTATTACTTTTTCCCTTCCCAGGCAATTTGTTGAAATAGTGCAGAATTGTTATCTACCAAAACAAGACCAAGTCAAGAGGCATTATCTCCCAGCAGGTTCCTTCAAAGGGACTTGGAGCTGGGGAATGAAGAAACCTCTTACATCGCTGCACTTCAGCAAGCCTTTGAATGCTGACAGGAAGGTGAGGAACATCAGCAGGCATTTCCATACCTGTAAGCTCTGGGCCAGGGCTCTGTGTCTCCAGATTGCTGCGCAGGGTCTGAAATCAGAAGACAATGGAAATAAGAGTAAATGATACTACTCAGTGCTTTCAATGACAACAAAGACATGTATATATATTTTTAAACAGATATCTCCAAGCAAGGAGATCTACAGTCATTTTACAAACTTTGTCATGCAGTCTGCATATACGTAAAAGGCTACTGCAACAAGGAAGGAAGCAGTTTATTATTCACATCTGCAGAAAGGTGGCCTGCCTTAGATTGTAGCAAGAGAAGTTTAGAGTCACGAAAAACATTTCCTACTAATAGGAAAACAATAAAAGTCCTGGAAGTGCTGTCTGGCATACCATGACATAGCATCAAGCACTGAAGTTGTGAAAGCAAACAGATTGAGCCACAAAGCATGTCTCAAATCCGCTGTTCTGGTTACTCCTAGGTAGCCCCTCAGCCACTCTGGTTCTCTGATACTGTTGCAAATCTGAGGAAGTTGAGTGAATTGCCATTTCATTTACTTAACCTGGGATGAACTGAGGAGCTAAACCAGGATGTCCTGGGTAAGGACTGGGCAAGAGGGTGTATAGAGTGCTCTACAGAGGCATGCTTCATGCCTGCAGCCACAGGTAAGGATTATAACCTTTCTGCACAGCATCAATAATTGCTGTGAGAAGGAAGCTTGAAAAAGAGAAATAAGCTAACTTTTACAAACTGCTATCCTACAATTATCACCACACTCCTTTAGTAGCTGAAAAAAATGATCTTGATCCTCCAAACACTGAGAAGAAAACATATAAAAAAACCCTACCAAATTAAAAAAAAAAATACATAGAGCATTTAAGGGGCTAAAGAAGGAACTGTGACAATGGGAACTCTCCACTTCCTCAGCAAATGAGTCCTAGTTCCACTGCTAGTGTCTGTTAATCCTTCTATTCCCTTCCTCCCCAAAAAAGCATTTTTTATGTAATTTTTTTCAGGATAACTGTACATTCTTAGGGCTGCTCTACTCTGTTCTAACAGTATTTCTTTCTGCAGGGAATATGAACTGGATCAGCTGTAAAACAATTGCCTCTGGAATAGAGAGTGTTGTTGATGACTTTGCCATGTGTACCAAATGCATCAGCTGTCCAGAGCTATACCTTGTGCAGGACACACTTCTCCTTTTGAAGCCAACAGTCAGCAGTATACACAGCCCTGAAGGTAACAGCTATGTCAGAATGACAGAGCGTGACGCAAATGTTTACCAGAGGGAAGAACTGGAATTCAATTCCAAGTGAAGGTACTTTTCTGAGGACTTACAACTAGTGACAAAATTCTCTCTTCTGGATCCATCAAGAGACTCATGAATGCCTTGTTCTGGTAGGGCCTCTGCATGGGAAGCCAAGGTTTCTCCTTGCCAACCGGCATTTTGTCTATTTGATTAGAGCAGTTTACTACAACCAAAGTGCCTGTTGCACCACATCTAGTAGAAGCACCTGTTAGCAACGTGGATTTTCTTGCAGCTTTAAAGCTAACTAGAGGAGAGGGTACACAGTACTGCTCCTCTGTCTTCTCCTCAGAATACCCACTCCTCCCTCAGGAAAAATACTGCCACACCATTACTTCTGCCCATGTTTTACACTCTAGCCTTCCCTATATAATTCAAGTGCCTGGCCGGATAAGGCCAGCTCAGTTCATTACATACTGCACATCACATATAATACAACTATAGTAGCTCTCACAGGCCCACCACAGTCATGTTCTAAAATGCTTTTTTGTTTCTGCCCTCTTAGGAGTGAGTATAATATACCAGAAGTGTTGGCCAGGCTTTTTTTTTGTGCCTTCTTACCCGGAGGTAATGGGGAAGCTGTGCCAGCAGTGTCTAGGCCGGTGCAGTGTCCGTCCCTATCCTGTTCTCATTCCACTGTACGGGTTTCTCCAGACACCTGGCAGGCCCCTACACACAACACTCACCGGATTCCTCAAAGATAGGATTAGTCCTGGGGACAGATACAGCCCAAGAATATATCTAATCATTCATCTGTTGTGAATGAGATACGAGAAACATAATAAACAAACAGAGCAAGAAGGAGAGAACATCTATTTCTGTAGAAATACAGTTTTGCCTGTGAGCTTACACAAAGGCAGGATAAAGGTCCATTTGCCTTTGTGCTCAGTCATGCGCCAGTCCCATTCGCAATTGCTTCAACAAATGAGGAGAAAGTGGGTCATTTTGTCGTCAGGACAACAAAAGCACACACTGACCTAGATATGTCTGAGGGAACCTAATCTTGCTCTTGGCACAAACTACGGGGTTCAGACAGTATAGGGGGGGTTCCAGTTGGGGAAACACAGCCTATTAACAACCTCAAAATGTGTCTTTTCTGTCTGTGGCATCAAGAACAGCCTCTCCTCTTTGTGTATCATGGCAAGGGTCACAGTGACGGCACTTAGTTCTGATTACCGGCTGCTAGTGGCAGGTTCCCAGGATGGCTCAATGCTTGTCTGGAATACTGAAGTTTTTGAGATG